GAGAGGACGAGAGGAAAGGAGAGAAGAGAGAGGGAAGGAGAGAGGAGAGGAGAAGAGGAGAGAAGAGAGAAGAGAGAGGAAGGAGAAGAAGGAAGGAGAGAGGAGAGGAAGAGAGGAAGAGAGAAGGAAGGAAGGAAAGGAGAGGAAGAGGCAGAGAGAGGAGAGGAGAGGAGAGGAGAGGAAGAGAAGAGGAAGAGAAGGAAGAGAGGAGAGGAGAGGCAGGATAGAGGAGAGGAAGAGAGAGAGGAGAGGAGAGAGAGGAGAGAGAAGGAAGAGAGAGAGAGGAAGAGGAAGAGAAGGAGAGAGGAGAGAGAGAAGAAGAGAGGAGAACAGAAGGAGAGCGAGAGAGGAGAGAGAGAGATAAGCGAGAGGAGAGCAGGAACGAAGAGGAAGGAAGAGGAGAGCAGAGAGGAAGAGGAAGGAGACGAAGAGAGAGAGGAGAGAGGAGAGGAAGGGGAGGAGAGAGAGGAGAAGAGGGAGAGAGCAGAGAGGAGAAGGAGAGGAAGGAGAGGAAGAGAGCAGGAAGACAGAGAGGAAGCAGGAAGGAAGAGAGAGAGGAGAGGAGAGAGGAGAGAGGAGAGGAGGAGAAGAGGCAGCAGGAAGGGGAGCGAGAGAGATGAGAGGAGAGAGAGGAGAGGAGAGGAGAGGAGAGGAGAGGAGAGGAGGGTAGAGGGGAAGAGGAGAGGGAGAGGAGAGGAGAAGGAGACGAAGGAGAGGAGAGAGTAGAGGGAGGGAGGAGAGGGGAGAGGGAGAGGGGAAGAGAGAGGAGAGAGAGGAGAGACGAGAGGGGAGAGGAGAGGAGAGGATAGGAGAGGGCGAGGAGGAGGAGAGAGAGGAGAGGAGAAGCAGAGGAGAGGAGAGGAGAGATGAGAGAGAGAGAGAGAGGAAGAGGGAGAGAGAGGAGAAGGAATGAGAGAGGAAGAGGAAGAGGAGAGAGGAAGCGAGCAGGAAGGAGAGGAAGAGGAGAGGAGAGGGGAGAGCAGGAGAGTGAGAGGAAGAGAAGGAGAGGCGAGAGGAGAGGAGAGGAGAGGGAAGGAGAGAAGAGAGGGAGAGGAAGAAAGGCAGGGAGAGAGAGGAGAGGAGAGAGAGAGCGACAGAGAGGAGAGGAGAGAGGCAGAGGAAGAGAGAGAGGAAGAGAGAGAGAGGAAGAGGAGAGAAGGCAGAGAGAGAGAGAGGACAGTAGAGGAGAGAAGAGAGAGAGAGGAGAAGAGGAGAGGAGAGGAGAGAGAGGGAGAAGAGGAGGGGAGAGGAGAGGAGCAGAAGGAAGAGAAGAGAGAGGAGACGGAGAGGAGAGGAGAGGAGAGAGAGAGAAGAGAGAGGAGACGAGCACGGCAGAGGAGAGGAGAGGAGAGAGGAGAGAGGAGGAGAGAGGAGACGAGAGAGGGAAGAGAGGGAGAAGCTAGAGGAAGAGAGGAGAGGAGATGAGAAGGAGAGGAGAGAGGCAGAAGGAAGGAGGAGAGAGGAGAGGGAGAGGGGAAGGAAGGAGAGAGAGAGAGAGAGAGAGAGAGCAGAAGAGAACAAGAGAAGAGAGAAGAGGAGAGAGAGGAGAGAGAGGAGAGGAAGGAGAGGAGAGGAGAGGAAGAGAGAGGAGAGGAAGAGGCAGAGGAGGAGGAGAGAGAGCAGGAGCAGAGAGAGAGGAGAGAAGAAGAGGAGAGAGGAGAGCTAGAGAGAGAGAAAGAGGAGAAGAGAGAGAGAGAGGAGAGAGTGAGAGAGAATCAGAGAGAGGAGCAGGCAAGGAGAGGGAGAAGGAGAGGAGAAGAACTTAGAGCCTCTCCTCTCCTCTCCTCTCCTCTCCTCTCCTCTCCTGTGGATGTGGCGTCACCTGTACAGCTTAGTACTGATTAGAGATAGCAATCGATTTTAAAGACCTTAGGGGGGTGAAATTAGTATTTGGTCAATTGGGAAGAAATTCGCTCATTCTTTTGTGGAAGATTAGAGTATCTTCTCAACTGGAAGTGTGAAATGTCGAATGCCTTCACAGATCAGGGAAACTGAGCTTTCAATGCGTGGCGGAATTAATATGGCGATCTATGTACCAACAACGGCAACAGTTCCCAAAACGAAGTGTTTTTGTGTACACTTCAATAACACATTACTCCTTTAAATTAAATCCATCCAATATTTTTGTAATTTCAGGAGATTTCTTATCTTCAAGGATAATATTTATCAATGTAACTGAACACTGCTGTGCCGCCATTCTGATGGACGACACTAGCCATCAATTAGTGTTGTTTTTAATCAGTGTAAGAGCATGCGCATCATCCCGATGCATCATCTCTGTCTCGCCTCTGCCCAATCTCCACCCTTACCTCCATTCTTGCTTACTCCCACCCTGTTGTTGCCACTGCCCTTGCCCCCCAACCCTGTCATTGCCCTTACCTCTGCCCACTCCTTCTCATCCGCCTACCCCCTCTTGCCCATTCATGCCCTCCCTGTGCTTCTGTTCTCGCCTCAGACCCCACACTCGTCTCTGCCTATGACCTCTGTCGCTTCTGCCCGTGGCTTAGTCCCGCTCTCATTTGTGCCTGCTCCCCTGCCTCTGTCTCCACCCTGTCCTTAGCCTGTGATTTAGCGTCTGCATTCTGCCCTCGTCGCCTTTCTCAACATCCTCGCGTCCACCATCGCTTTTGCCCACGGAATCATCTCCACCAGAGTAGATTTAGTGATATATAGCATATTTACAGAAAAGGCAGTGTTTATGACTAGATAGACATTAATATGCTAGAGTGGTAGATTCTTCAGAATCTCAACCAAAGTATCCAAAAGCTTTCAAAGCCCGTATATTTATTCAAAATAAGTTACGTGTATGTTAAGGAATTTCATATATGTAGAATGAAGTATATATTAATTATAATAATATTAATTAATTATTATATAATATTAATTAATTATTTATAAAATAAAAATATATTCATTGACACCTCTCGTACGATGTAATGTGGTTTTATACTCGGAACATTATTCATGACATTCAAATCAAATGATGCACTTGTGTTATCAATCCAATTTACAAACGTTATATTTCTAGATTGCTAGTTGGTTGTTGGTTCAGAAATGTACTGGCCAGCTAGTAACAACAATTGTTAAACATTGATACTGTATTTTACATTATTACAAGTGATTCTGTTCTCAGCAATTGTTAGAGATTTGAATTATTTGGAACACTATTAGTGAATTAAGGTTCCTATATTTTGTTTTCATATTGTAATGAATTTCCAGGACCAATGATAATCGAACTGCTCTCTTCATTGCTGCCAACAAAGAGAATTTACCTCTGGTGAAATTATTACTTAATTATGGGGCAGTGGTTGATGTGATTTGTGACGATGGCACAATGCCTCTTCATGAGGCAATTCATAATGGAAATGTGAGGTACTGTATATGTTAACAATGTTTCTAAAAATAATACAATTTGTAATTGTTTCTTAGAAAACTTACTTTTTCAAAAATTCTTTTCATGATATGGTAAATATTGTAGGAGTATTTCAACAAATTAATTTATATTTCAATTGTTGATTTCATGATAGTGAGGGCATAGTGTTATGTAACTAGGCAGTGAATTTGTTCATTTATATTTACATTCTTAGCAGTTAAATTTTTCAGAATAGACATGCTCTTTGTTAAACCCATTTATTTAATGACATGCCTGGCAACTTTATGAAATTTAATAGATTGAGGTACAATGGTGTATTATTCTTTAATACCAACAAAGTTTTATCTTATAAAGCAATTTCCTCACATTTATATGTTTTACTTCGGGAAAGTTTATGCTCAAATTCAGAGATTCTCTGGAAAGGAAAAAAGGCATTCGATATATGTTAACGCTATATTTTTTTCTTCGTCATTTGCTATTAAAAATTATTTCATTGAAGTCTTTTTGTGAGGTAAAAGAATTGATTTTAGGGGAAAGTAACATGGCAATGTATACTCACGAACTTTGATTGTATTCATAAGAATATTTAAAATTATTAGAAATGAATATTGTTTTGTTTTTTTCTTCTTTCTTTCAATGTGTAGTGTGGCAGAAGAATTAATGAAGAAAATTAATGTTGAAGAAGTCATTGCAAGAAATGAGAGAGAACTGCAAAGCTTCTTAATTTTTGCAATTGATTCAGGCTCGTAAGTAAGAGCATGCTTTTATTAAATATGTCATACTGTAAGTAGCATCTGTTGTTTTCATTAAGGTTTTCTCAAAATGGTTCATTATAAATCTTAATAATCAGTTCAAATGTATTGTGTAATGGATTTTATCGCATATGATTTTTTCTCACTTTTCCCTCTACATTCAGGCTACAATTCCATACATCCTCTGTTCTTAAATTTGTTCAAAGAATATTCACCGCAACCAGGATTCAAACCCGGATCTCAGGATGGTGACAGCTATATTCTGTTCTGTTTCATTTCAGACAATTAGAGAATGTTTTATTTATTTATTAACAATGTTATTGATTGTCTATGATTGGTTTGTATTAAGCAGGTTCCATTTAATTATTGACAATCGGTTAATTTGAACATATTTCCATGAGGAGAGGTAAAATATAAATGTGTATTATCAAGACTTTTTATGATATATATGTTATATAATATGTATGTTTTCTTTACCTCTCATTTGTGTATGAGTTGAGCTAAGAGTGTTGGTTGTTATTTGGTTAGCTATATAGCTACTGTTGCAAATTTTTCGATGTGCCCAAGCTGTGAACCAATTCGGACTAACTCAAACCTCTAGTTAATTCCATATATTCTATCATTCATTTCTGTTTCGGAGTTATTGGCAACGTCTTGGCATTACAATCTTGGGTTATGGTGATTTGAGCTAACATAGTTTGTTTCTTAATACGTATTAATTATTTTTCTCTGGGGATGAATACTATTTTTGTAGCAGTGCTGAAAAACTACATCTGCAGTTCGTTTACCAATGTAAATAAATTTTCTATATAGCGGGAACGAAAACGGGTAGTCTTTTCAATGTTGCAAACCTCTCACTTTTTAATTATTATTATTATTATGTTTAATTTTTACTTTCCAGTATACGGTGTAATATACGTAGTATAGGAAAAGTTGTGTATTGCTACGGAAAATCCATTTCAAGATTTCTACTGAAATACACGTTTTGGGGCCCTCCAGGAAGTTTGTTGTTGTTTTTTTTAATCTTCGGCCGTCCATCTGTTCGTGTCTGGGTTCTGCGAACACTACTAACGCTTAAACCATACGTAGGATTTTTTCCAAATTGAAGAAGCCCTTGTCCACGTGGCTAGAGTTGAAATTTTGATATTTTCAAAAATATTCTTTAAAATTTTAGAGTACTTTTCATGAATTCCTTCGGACACTTAAAATTTTATCCAAAACGACTCCAAATATTTTCTTTAAATTTCTTGTAAGATTAGAGTAACATTCAGTTATAAACGTGGCATAGGTCATATTTTCACGGTTAACCCAGAATTTTCGAAAATTTCAGTATGCATTTTTTTAGGTGTCTTTCTAAAACTAAAAAATTAAAGCTAGAGATTTTTCTGTCAAATAAAATTTGTTCTCCATAGTGAGTTCTTTCATTAAAGTCATGTACATTTTTTGAAAATTGTAATAGTCTTTGTGCAATATTACGTGCAATATGTGCAATTTAAAAAAAAATACAAAAACAAGAATTTCTCAAAGGCACCAAATTTTCTCTTTAAACTTTTGGTACTTGGGATAGTACTAAATATACTTTATAGGGATAGTGCAAAATATACTCCACACAATGACTTAAACAACATATTACCCTATTCTTTTGTTTTTCAAAAATTACAAAAATGTTAATTATTTTGACTTGGCTCTCATGTCGTTCATATTTATTTTCGCGCCAATTTGTTTACATTCTTGTATTTATGAGTACATGTGGTTTAAATGTCATATAAAGCTTCTCGAAACTGAACCATTTTCTGTGAAAACTAGCTCAAAATTCCCCATTTTCTCAAAAACGGCTCCAATTTTTTTCTTCAAACTTTTCGGAAGGATTGTGCTAATAACGCTTTTTAATATGAGGTACATTTCATTTCGGGGTATTTTTTTCTTCTTCAAAAATTACTGAAATGTAATTTTTTGAAAGTTCTCTCACGCCATAATATGCACATTTCCAACAATTTGTAAACACTATTGTATTTGTGAGTTCAAGTACTTAAAATGACATGAAATTTCGTTTTTCGAAAACTCAAAAATCTTCTGTGAAAAAGAGCTTCGAATTTACAGTTGCGCTGAAACGCCAATTTTTTAAAACGGCTCAAAAATGTTCAAAGAAAATTGTCATTTAGGACGAATTTTTACTGTTCTTTAATAATCTTAAAATAGTATTACCACTCTATAATTACAAAATCGAAAAATTAAACAAATTTCAAAGAAATGTACTTTAGGCGGCGATAGATGGCAGTAGGCAAGAATATGTAGCTTGTTCGAATAGTTAGCCGAGACCAAAGGAAATAAAAATACTATTTCGGAAAAGTCTGTGCCATTCTGTAGCATCACCAGTTTAAACTTTTATTCATCTTTCATTTAAATGTTGGGAAGGGTTTCTGAAACTCAAGAAAACATGCTCTGATGATCTTCTCCCCCATATGTCACATACAGTTTTTACTAAATAAATATCGCTTCGTTTTTTTCCCCCCTTGTAGTTATTATATTTCCTTTTGTTACTTGCTACCTTTATTTCGTATCCACACGGGTAAAAAGAAATTTACAAGTCTTCTACACTGTATAATGCACCTGATGAAGTTAACAACTCTAAAGATAAACTCGTCACAAAATCTCGATCGTCATAATTGGAAAATCAATCCGTTCTCTCCCGCACCCTCTCTTCGTACTAGCCAATCATCGTTAAATCATCGCTGGAACAGTCTTCGAATTGTATGATTCGTAATCATCGAGCCATTTTTAAGAGCACTTCGGAGATACGCGTGCATTTAGCTTACTCCTGTACTTCACCCGACGGATTTTCGCCTTGGAAAGTTGCTCTCGAATTTACTCTAGAGTAAACATGATTTACTCCCGAGTAAACTCTTACTCTTTGTTTGGTGAAACCTGCCCTTACATGTATTTTTTTTTTAGAAAATATCTTTTCAGTTCTTTAATTTAGTTCCAACGCCAGACTTTAGAATTCCATCGAATACCCCTTCTTCGTCCATCTGACGAATGGTTCGGGTACCGGCTGCAGAAAGCTCCTCAACGGATAAAAACGACATCCTCGCAGAAGTTTTTTTTCAATTTTGGGAATTAGTCAAAGTCGGGTGGATGTTGTAACACTTCCTTATCACAGTCATGGAATTTTTCTGTTCCGACTTTTGCCCTGTGTTGGCGAGCGTTGACGTGGAGAATGAGTGGCCCCGAGTGTTCAGAGTTCTCGGGGTTTGTGCATTGTCGTAGAATTCATTTGACATTATTTGAAGTATAGACTTTACTGAAATTCCTTTGGCTTCAGAATTTTTTCAAATGTCGCACGACGATCGTTTTAGTAACATCTGCCGCTGATTTCACACTTCGTTAATCTGCCGATGTTCTGAATCTTCTCTGTCTTGCGTCATTCTTTTCTCTCACACGACCTTCACGAAATCGACTAGCCCAACGGGCAACTGTGACACGGACCACTGAAAGCTCACCACACTCATCACTTAATTTTGGATTTCTATCGGGTGAAGTAAAGTTTTGATCTTAGTATGCGATCTTTGATCATCAACACTCACAGTACCCCGGATCTGTGCAAGCTCCATTTCTAAGACCCCATATTAAATTCAACTTTGACTTAGAAGTGGCGCAACAATCAGTGTCATCGCGTCCTTCAACCTGCCAAACTGCATTATTTATGAAATGACCTCCGTATTACCAATGTCATTCCAATAGCAACAAATAAGGCAAAGTTCAATCCCAAAAATATTTCTGGGCAGCATATCATTAAACCATAAGTATTTGAAAAGAAATATTTTTACAAGTTTCAATCTTGTTCAGACTTAACCACCCTATAACAGGAAATTTTTTGATATAATATGGCACTGTTTTGGTATATTAGTAAATGATATGTAAACAATTAAAAATTGTAAATTACACATCTATTTGATAAAGAAATATGCTGGAATGTGATGTTTTTTTTAAATGTTTGCTGGTAATATTTATATGAAAACAGTGTTATGTACATTCAATGTGTGTGTTTTTGTTGTATTTTTATAGATTAGAATGCTTCAAGTTGGTAATGGACCATAAATTATATTCTTATGTGGATTGTCTTCCCTTTTCTGTAAAGGATTCACCTACACTATTGAATGAAATTAGTTTCAAACACTATAGGTATGTCTCTCCTCTGAGCTTCCTTTTGTATCATCACTTACAAGAACGGTATGCCCCACCAATGCTGCAGTGTATTCTTGACTCTGGTGAATATTATTCATTCACTAAAGTGTTGTTAAATGTAATTTTGAATTACATTTAAATTCAGTTAAAGTGTTGAAAATTTATTGTATATTACAATGTAAATTTATATTTTTTCTCTTTTTCAGGTGATTTTTCTGTAAATGCTTTTACGGAAGATTTCATGCCGCCTCTTGTGGCTCTAATTGTAGGCTTAAGTAGTGACTCCAAAACCATTGAAAAGCTTCAATATTTTTCAAAATTACTTGAAATGGGGGCAGATATTGATTATAACAGTGTGTATGTTCTCTCATACATACTTGTGTTACTTATGTCCTTGGTTGTAATGAGGCAAATTGAATATATGATTTGTAATATTTTTTCCAGCGAAACGCATTCTGAAGATTTATTAGTCCCTGATATCGTAAGGGCAATAATAATTCCCAGCAAATGCAATGTACAACAGAGCTTACTCTTGCCAGTGTTAGCTCATTGTTTTGCATGCAACTGGGATGATCTTTTGGATTGGTTGGTGAAAGACCAGACTTGTAGTGCATTTGTCCTGAGTGTTTTAATTAAACTTGGAATAAGATCAAAACAGTCATTATTACAAATATGGGATCAGATTAAGCATTGTTCTTGTAATATCTGTGAGAAAGAATTACCAAATATTCATAAATTGGTTTGTGAGTATCGTAAACTATAATTCATATAGATAAAGTAATTGTATTTATACAGTAATTGAATTGTGAATATTCGGTATATTGTTCTTTTCCAGCTACTTAAAAATTGTTTTTGTTACAGGTGAAACAGATGTAACTCTGCAGTCTTTGTGTCGAGTAAAGGTTCGAAATTTACTCTGGGAGTATACAGGAAGAAGTAAAAAGGCTGAAGATCTTCTTCATAAACTGTGTGTTCCATTTCCTGTGAAACAATTCATCATACCTGAAAAATTGTAACACAAAAAGGAAGATAAACAATTTCTATTACCATTACCTCCTAGTATTCTCTTTACGAAAGCCATAGCTACTAATATTATTATTATGTTTCATTACTAAATTGTAAATTTATATACCCTTAAAAACATACAAATATGCTAACAAAATAAGAAACTAGTTGTGCTAAAACAGTACAACGTTTCTCGCCATTAGGAATGGTTATTTGCAACATAATTTCTCTCTGAATTATTTTTTGTGAAACTCTTTCCTAAATTCTTTTCTTAGAAATCTTAGAACATTCGGTTTGAAAAATAAGCAAAATGCAAGAAAGTTAGATATTTAAAAGTTAATAAATAATAAGATACTGATTGTGTTCGAAAACAAATAGATCAAAAAATATAATAGTAAATATTAAACATTATGGTATTGTAATATTCTACAAAAATATAAAAGTATTGAATTACTTTTTATTTCTGTGAACTAAACTAGTTGTCATTATTGCATTATCAATGCGGCACAGTGTTACAACAATGGGTAACAACAACCAACAATGACTGCTCATATATTCTTTTCGCATTTAACCCAATTTATTAGAGGCCGCAATTTAAAATAAAATAATATAAAAATATAATAAATAATATTGAAATTATACATGTAATATACAAATTCTATTGTACATAGAATCTAACTGAGTAAATTGGGACCGCGCAACTGAAAGCTAGCAATCTTTATTTCCTCTTTATTTGAAATTAGGTTTTAAATGATTTCTAAAAGATTAATTTGTAAACTTATAACAAAAGCTCCAATGTAAGAAACCAACAAAGAAATATAAAATACTATATACATTTTAACGAATATAGCATCCAACTGCCTCAAAACACCTAAAATTATGATAAAGAAGCGCAATATTTTCAGAGCAGGCGACTAACTCTGGTTTTGATTAACACATTTGGTTTTGAAAAAAATTGTATCTTCATAATTGTAGTTGTAGGAAGACGCTGTAAAAGTTTTGAATTTGTTCAATTGTCGAAAAATAAGGGTTTTCAACCAACTTGAGACTATTTTCAGAAATGTCCTTCTGAGTATTCAACAAAATTTCATCAAAACAATAGAGCCATTTTTGAGTAAAAAATTGTTAAAACAAAAATTAAAAATTGTATTTCACGCAACATCACGCGAAAAATACTCAAAATTTCGAAAAATTGTACATACTCTTATTACAAAATTATCCATATGGAACAGATTACATTAAGGAAAAATAATTTCTATTAGTAATATTTTGTGGGAAGGCATCGAAAAATGATTTTCTTCAATTTTTGAAAAATTAGTTTTCAACAAATATGAGGTCTGCGCCATTGTCTTAAACGTCCTTCAGACTCCAACAGCAAAATTTAATGAAAATCGATGGCACCTTTTCTTGAAAACTGCCCAGGGGCTTCATGTAAACTATCCTCCAAAATTAAAATTGCAAATTCAAAGAGCTGCGACATCGGCCAGATCGATCGATCTTGCGTTGTTCGCACACGGAGAGGCGTTTTGCCTTCAATCGATTTTCCTTTTGAAGGACCCACAAAACGGATTTGGGTTACACCACGTCTTAGAGAATTTTTTTGTAATTTAGCGACGAGTTATCCACTTTTTCATTGTCAGGGTCCCGTAATAAGAGGTTTTTTGTCGAAAATTTAGTTGTTTTTTTTCGCGCAGCATTACATAACTTTCTCTTGTTAGGACTTGCTCTTAACCGCGAGAAGATTAAAATGCTGTTCAAAAACAAGAAATATGTACAGATGAAAGTGTGCTTTTTATATTAAACCAATAAGCTACTTTTACTTCTGGACCAGTATGGCAATTCTAAGAAAAATAATCTAGATTCGAGAACAGTGAAAAAGGTATGTGCAGGTTTAAATGGTGAATCACAAATTGTTTCATTGCAGAAATCGAAAGAGAATTTTCTGTGCATAACAATTGTACAAAATTTTGATCCAGAATTACTTATAAAAATTTCGAAAAATAGTTTATGGTAATTTCTTATTTAATAAAAAGCATTGTTTGTATTCCCAAAAGACATGTTGCATATAGTTAAGACCATTACGGAATGCAAATGTCTGGTGGTTCTTTTTGAATATTGGACTTCCAACATCTTGCCAGTATGACAAAAGCTCTGAAAAAATTAAATTATTCATTTTAAGGTGCTGTCAGTGGCGGGTCGTTCTTAGGTAATCTAAAAAGTAACTTAAAGGCTTTGCACATTTTCCTTTTAATGATATTGCAGCAATATCGTATATGAAATGATTTTGAAACCAAAGCGTCCCACTGGCGCGCTCTCCGGTGTCTGGTGCCTTCCAGATATTGCATCATGCTCTTGGCCCGATTACTGGGTGTACTGCATTTATTCTTCAGCCCTTCGCTTTAATACAAAGAACATGCGGCTTTTGGTGGCGTAACCAAATGGGTGAGGGACGCACTTAGCGGCGACCGAGGGAGTGAGTGGAATACCAATTATCTGTCTTCGTCTTGCTAGCTGCAACTTAATAAATTACGAATTTCGCGTGCTCTTGTAAGTACACGAGTTCAGTAAATTATTGACGGCATTTAAAGCATCAGTTATGTTTAGAGAATTTGTTTTCATTATATTTATTGATTAAAAATGTACATTTGATAAATTCTTTGTGTAAAGTTGGCTGTCCTGGAAGGAAGTCCCTTTCTGTCTCTCAAGGTGGATGCATGTTTCTGCCTGAAGTGCAGTTACAGTCGAAGAGCGCTGGTGGGAATAGGAGCGTGTGTAGGAAGGATCATTATAACAAATATGAGAAGGTGAAATTTTCGAAATACAATAATTTTATTTGTGTGAAACTGTCGAAGCAATATTGCTTATTGCAATATGCTCGAGACAAACTAAGTAAGTGCCCAGTGGAAATGAAATTCAGAAGCACATGCAGGGTCCTATAACTCCCATATAACGTGGTGGAGACCATTACGGTGGCGCGCTCTGCTGCATCACCTTCTTTACATGAACTAAAACAGGAACTGCTGCCAACAATACTTTAAACGTGCGTGACTGCTGCGTGAGTTCGCGGGTCGCAAGCAGGCCCGTAATGTTACAAAAGATAACGTCTACGTTCGCGCTTTCTTCAGAGGTTTCTTATAAGTATATATTATGAATAATTCTACATTTAGAAGACACTTTTCGTATTTCTCACAAATTAGCCAATTTGTATGTGAGAATGTTGACGATCCTAACCTGCAGCTGCACCCGGCGACACTAGCGCTTCCTATAGTAGCAACCTCGAGCTTTGTCCCCGATTTCGATGGAGAGTTGCCGGGCCCTGAGCACATGCGCGGATGTATATAACTGACACGGACACTATGCATAACATGTACGTTATTGTAACGAATATTGCATCATCTGCCGGGATGCCCCTGCTCATTTTTGACAAAAACAACTGATTCATATGTGAAGAGACAAGGTAATGGTAAAATACCTAGATTAATAAAGAGATTCTTACAAGAACCACGTGGGCGAGATTTTCTTATTATTCGTACAATTTATTATTATTATTAATTTGTAATGTAAAAGTCTGGGAGCTATAAGATGTATTTCCCCAAAATAGTATGCCATATCTCAGGCAGGAATGAACATTCGTGAAATATACACAGCGAGCAATGTGGAGGCTGACTGAACTTGAAATAATTCTGAAAGCGTAGCATAAATAATTTAGTGTTCAATACATTTAAATGGACATTCCATTCAAGATTTGATTCAAAATTATTTTTTTATAACCAATTTGAAATATCTGATATTGTACTATTTACGGTTTCTTTTCAAGATCTCTTTTGATGCTGTCTATTTGCTGTTCGGGTCAATGTTCCTTGGACGGTATTCTCTCCTAATCATGTCGGTTTGCTATACATATTCAGTTAATTAATGGTTTCATCAAAAAAAACTATAAATTTATTACGCGATCGCCACTTTCCCTAGCTACACCGCAGGTGGGTATTACTTTTCTTGAACGATGACCTTGCTTTCCCCCCTCAGTGGCACTACAAACAGTTGAAGGCAAAACAACATTCCAAAGACATTCACTGGCGCGGAGTATTCTTGTGAAGGCGAGAACGTCTATCTCTAATTTTCTCCGAAAAATGTAAAGAAATGGCAGAAGCAGGCGAAGATCTATTACACGAGATACCTCGAACTCCTAAGAAAGAATGCAAAATGTTGCGAAGGCGTGACTGATTCTCCAGAGATTGGCATTACCTTCATATATCAATTTACCTTCATAAAATGTAGTAACAAATACCCCCACTCTTTTTTCAATCCATCGTGCAAGATAAGTTGCACGAGTAATACCTATTCGCGAATGTTTATATTCAATATGAATTGTTGAACACAATTCCCATCTAAAAATCTTTCCTATTATAAGTTTCGTTTCGAATACCAAGTCTATTTAGATTTTACTTAATATTCACAACAAATACTATAACGTTTCTAAATGATCAACATGTACAACTTTAAAGAATGTTGGAACTAATTTTGTGTACCCAATTCCCTATAACTGAAAAATAAAGATCCTGATCCAACCAAAGGTGCTCGTACTGTCTGGTTAATTCGTCCGGTATGGCAGGAGAGAGCGAATATTACGAAATTTCTACAAGAGTACACCTCTTACTGTCTCCTCCGTGCATTCTTTATACATACAAGGGGCCCTGCTTCCCTTTCCTAACGAGCTAGAATATACTATACATAGTGGCTGTCCTTATAGTTTCAGCGCTCTTGATGAAGGCTCGTCGAACTAGTGGCTGCCATGTTTTTTGATGTCAAAACACGAGTGGCGATGTATTCAACTGCTATACTGAATCGAATGTGGTGTTGTTCGTATCACAACATATTCCATTAGTTTTTCGTTGAACGGTATGTAAATAACGGTATTGCAATAACATTCACTTTCAGGCTTTTACAATAACGTTTCAATAGCTTCCATTCTTATGACAATAATCGATGGAGGAAGCAATCTGTATTTAAAGTTTCTCAATTCGTTCTCCAAACATGTTGTTATTCCGTTTTTAAATGATTGTTTTTGATCGTGAAAACACACAATAAGGGGATTTAAATTACGCGCAGCCAGCGTCCACCCATCCGTAAGCAGCACCAAACGTAACGCTAAAATTCTTTGTTTCCCAGAGGACGCTGCTTTAACTGCAAAAAACATGGCTTCAATTTGCAAGATGTAGTCGCGTAGGCACTATGTAGGCAAGGTATAGGCGCGTTGCACTATGTAGTATATTCTAGCTCGTTGCCCTTTCCACGAATGAAAGCGTCATGCTCGCGACCATAGAACATGTATTCATATTTACCCCAACAATATGTAATCTTGGACTATTCTTATTCTATATATGCATTAATTTACGTGGTATTTATATCTTGATGCCATTTTTATCTTCAAATAAAACCGGGGGTTTCTGGTTTACCACAAAACATTTATTACAATTAATACGTTTAATTATATCAAATTCTGTTTCACTTAGGTCAAAGTTACTTTATTCTGAGAAAAACTACAAGCATTTTTGGGACTGTTTATATGAACATTCTAGATTTTTTTCGAACTATTATTAAAGTTTAATGTAAGTAATATTTCTCCCAATGATTTTTTTGTCACGTCGCCTTTACTGCCGTTTATATTTTTGGCCAGGATCTCGGCGCCGTTAGTAACCAGAGTTCCGAGGCGGGCACACGCCTAGCAAGCGATGTGTCTCAATTTGAGTGTCCATGACTTTACGGAGCGTAGTTAGGCAATTCGGCTAACAACTCCGGCTTTGGAGGCACAAAATTCGTTTGGACTTTCCGTATCCGATGAAAGGGCACGTGGATCTACATTTCATTTTATTATAAAGTAGTACCTTTTCATTATTGCTAAAGTCAAGATATTTACTTCGAACCATTATCAAAATGGAAAGGTGTAGTGACCACAGACAAATAAAATGGGTACTCTGTGATGATAGTGGCGACGTATGTGTTAGTATGGTGGTCCTTTAAATCAAATTTGTGAAAGAGATGCCCAGCCAGAACCTAAACAAACCCAAAAGAAATCAAATATCATTGTAAATAACTGTGATATGAAACAAACCTGGTAACTGCTTAATACACCCAAAATCTTACAAATTATCTAGGAAGCCCTTTCGCATCTTCAAATCTTTTTCAAGATTTTAGAATGAATATTGGAACGATTACAATAATTTTACCGTATATATTCGAATAATCACCGTTCTCAAACAACACCCGCATACTAATTTTTCGGAAAGGAATCTCGAAAGAAAAATAAACTTTTTTCTTGCAAGAAAATAGTTCCATTATTTTATTGCATTGTTGAAAAATAACTAAGTTTGTTTTTGCCTGCTGATTAATATTCTGTTGTTCTGCTCTTTCTTCAAGACGCGCTTCGTCAAGTTACGCAAATGAGTAACTTTCATCCACATCTTCCTTCCGCGCCATTACTAATTTGCCCTGCTTCTTCTATTACGCGTAATATTTCTTTCGCGGTGAAAGATATTTCGTTTCATCGAGCCTTCATTTCGCTAGATGCGAGAGAGAGGGGGCGGTACTTTTACGTAAAATCTGGAGCAAGTTTTTCGATGCAAAATAGTTCCTATTACACGGAATCGAACATTTCTGGTAAACAGATTTTGTCAATAAAGCTCGTTTCTTCTGCAGTCAACTGTTAGTAAAGGAGCATGCGTGAGTATGTGGGGGCGGGTGGTTAGGTACTCCGGGGCTCTAGAAAACATGCGCGTGTAATACCAACCTTTCACTTCGATACTGGGAAAAGGCCAAGGTGTAAGACGTACACCGAAGAAAAGACTAATCCGGACCAAAGACATGTTGTGACGCTATGTAATACGCGGATTCCACTCTTGAGTAAAATAAAAATAATCATTAATGAAACTAGTGAAAAATGCATCTGTGAGCTGTGTAATAAAAAAAATATTGATATCACCTAAAACATGGAAAAGCAGTTAGTGAATACAGTCTAGTCCAAACGATATCAAATACCCTCTCAGGTGAACTTACCTTCTTTACATAATACCAACCTTCACGGGAATAATATCCACACCAGAATTTTCAGCAACCAATTTTTTTTAAATTATTTTTTTTAAATATCGAGGATTATTTGAGTGATGGTATATGGTATTTTTCAAACAAAAATAAAAGTCGCGAAATATAGAACAAAAATCAATGGATAGTCTTTATTTACAAATAATTTACATAAAGAATATGGAAGCAATATTATTCTGCTATGAACTAAAGCAGATGCAGGATATTATACATCAAGATATTTAATAATTACCACATTATTTGAGTGATTTATTCGATTACAAAGAAATGCATATTAAATAAAAGAGTTAACAAAGCATCTGTCCCTATTCAATGAGCTTTTTGCTTTCCATTAAAGAATCTTTCTTTAAAAGAAACAAAATTAATAATAAATAATCTTACTTAAAAGATTTTCCTACAAACATAATTGTGCGCTATTGAAAAGTACTCCATATCAAAAATTTTCTATTAATGTTCTCATACATATTGAAGTTGATAATACCCTCATGTTACTTGAAAATTGTTTGATAATAGAAGCAAGGACAAAAAAGTTTAGGAGTCAGAATACAAAGTAATGAAACTGTATACACACTTCCACTTTGTACGGTTCAGCCTCATGATGCTGTGGTTTCACAAAGAGAAAGAAATTAAAAAAGGAATGAAGAAAAAAGAAAGTAAAGGGTGAGAAAAGGAAGAGAGAGAGAGAAAAAAAAGCAAAAATATAGATATGCACAAAAGGTTGAACTCTAAATGTGGAAGATTAGGAAGTTTTTTGACTCTTCATTACTCTTCAAAATCAGGTATCAAAGTTTAACCATTGCTTTACTAAAAAAAAAAAAGGTACTGTTCATTTAGTCTTATTACACTCCTATTCATATCGCATGCAAAATAAAAACTGAATGACTTCACTTTCAATGTCATGTTCCATGCAGAAAATAACCAGTGGGTTGCACTATATATTCACTGTTGTTGTCTTCCCCATGACATGTAATCTGGTCTGGTCGCAGCTTGGTATTCATCAACCAACTCTTGAACAACTTCTCGAGAATTATCCAGTTCTTCTAGAGAATCCTTAAACATTGCTTCCTTTCGAAATTGCTCCAAGAAAGCTTCCCGTTTTCGCAGTTTATCATATTGTTGTAGAGCTCGATCAAATAACTACAACAGTATATAAATAATAAAATTGTATTCATTCATGTATTTCAGTAGTTTTTAAATTGTCTGATCACTTACATTAATTCAGTTTTTTAGTTCTAATTTTTGCAATATATTATTCATTACTGGCACATTCAATACAGTTATTTCCCTAAATAAAAATATTTTGATAAAAGATATTTTCCCTCATATTTACCTAAATTTATATTTTATAAATTTATGTATAATATTGCAAGAATTTTAATGATGTTAATAGATACTTACAGATGATATATTTGTGTGATTGGCTAGCATTAGACCAGATACTCTGTGTGCACTCTGGATGTATGGAGACTTTCGTGACAAAGCAACTTGAATACTTGCTGGGCCCCATGGGATGAAATGTGCCAACTTGCGTTCTCGAATTCGCAACAATGACTTGTGCACCTGTGTGGGGTCTACTTCACCCTGATGGATGGGAAAAAATTGGCCATTACTAATTTTCTGCATGTCTGCTTTTCATGATTGGAAATCATATGCAATTAAAGAAGTGCCATTGAATTGAATATAAACATATCATGAAATGACAAAAAAAACCTCTACCTGAATGATATTAAGAATGGATATATAACAATGAATAGCTGAGCGGTCATGTGCGGTTGACACCATCATATTCTTGGGTTGCAATAAACGTCTCATCACATCTAATACAGTAGTTTTACGAACAGAAACTTCCTGGAATATGAAAATTTACACCACAAGATCACAAAAATAGCATTTTGTGTTTGATCAAACTTTTGATACTTTTAGAGCCTGTTTCACTGGTGCCTGATAAAGTTCCAAATACAATTTCGACACATATTTTATCCCTCAGATGAAAGTGCCTGATATATTATTTTGCGTTTCACAAAGATCTTTCTTGTTAAAATATCTGACAGATAACTTTCTAATAAATAATCTGGTTGATTACTCTTTCACCAGCAGCAACACCAAGTTTTCGAGTCAACCGCGCACAGTGTGCGCAAATTCAAATGTTTCGGTGATGGAAGTGTCAAGCACTTTTTAAATTTTTGATTAAAAAAAAACAAACATGTAATGGAAATGATGCTTACTAAAAATGACTGGAGTAAGGCAAGGAAATCTATTACAATTTTTGACAGGATTATGGAGGATATCATTGAAAATGGATTCTTTAATTTCTATAGCCTATTTCTCATAAATTTCTCAAAATTCAGACGTTTCTCCGATGACCAGCCTATTATATATTATCAAAATAAATTTCTAATTACTATTCACTCGCTGAAGAAAATTGTACAGAGTACAATTTACAATTAAATTAAGAAAATAAAAGTCAGAGTAAATGGTCTTAAACATATCAACATAATAAAGTCCAACCCATTGATTAAAATTCTACTGAGAGAAGTGTGGGAAGTCTCATGAAACGAGTGATTTTATATATTAACAACATCAAAACCAATTGTACAAAAACTCCAAAGTTTAGGAAAGTTTAAACAGATAAAAATGTGAGAAAAAATATGATTGTTCACTTGAATAATAATAATAATAATAATAATAATAATAATAATAATAATTTTATCATAAATGTTTGTGAAAAGACTCACATAATATTAATCCATTCTAATATGCTATCAATACCATGTTATAATCTTTTCACAAACATTTGTGACATTATTTTCACTAAAATAAAAATTAATTTTGGATAATGGACCCACAAAATATTCTAGAATAATCTCCTTAAAGAGAGGTTGTATCTGTATGTTCTCACAATGGGATTTTTTTTTCCTTCCTTAGTTTTTTAGTTTCTACTTAGTACTTTAATATTTTTTCACTTATACTTGATATTTTAATGAATATCATTTCTTATTTCCACATAATGTTTATAATGGATTCTTCCCAATTCATTTTATTCACTATCTTCAAAATGTGTTGACTTTTTTTTCCCACTTCTCTCTCTTCCCAGATGGATCATGTCAATTAGGCCTATCTACCATATGTTGATGAGTGTAATTGACACATCGAATCAATGTGTTGGAAAATAAAGATTTCTTTTGAAGAACAAAAATCACTGATTATTAAAAAAGAAAAGGATACTTGTGTTTAATTAATTTATTAAGAAACATTTCATAAAGATAGTTCACAACACAGTCACTATGTTGAGTACAACACTATAAAATCAGGTATGGGAACGGGTATGGGTAATTGTATGGGAACATATGTGCAATCAATCTATTGCTGCGAGAAAATATAGCAATTTCATACAAATCTTTTTGGGTGATTTCTATATTCCTTTGAAGCTTCATGAACTAACTACACTTGAAGCAGTCGATTGCTCACCTCAATGAAGACTCAAATTACGATAAAAAATGATCCTGTTGCAAAATAAGTTGGTATTACATGTAAGTCGGTACAGAAATATAAGTTGGTATTTACAAATCTCTTATTTTCTGTTCTATCAAAGACAGCTTTGCTAACCGAAACCATAACCTAAAACGGAATTTGCAATATTGTTCAAGGATCTCAAAATATTCTGGCCGACATGTTGTCTGGGCAGACGCTCTAAACCATCAAAGAATTAGTCGACAATTAAGTCGTCCATCACAAAATATCACAGATATTTCTTGAAAATCACAGCAAGTTCACACACAAATTCTGTTATTTTGCAGTTATCTACCAGATAAACATTTAACAGCCTTTCAAACCTCCAGATTATTTACCGGACACTTTAACCATTGGATAGAATTATCAGGCATTCATAAAACATAAAATTTCAACATATTAGTAAGATATTTTATCAGGCACCGGTGAAACAGACCCTTAGAGTTTAACACAGATGAAAATATGGTGCATTCTTGACTCTTCTATTCTGTAAAGTAAAATCATCAAGAAACAAACTGAAAAAGTATTACCATGCAGAACTAATTTCAGCCTTAAGCAAACTTTCAAAAAAAGTAAAACAAATATTAGATGCACTGTATGTTTGTTAACTAATGTGATAATAATTTTCATACTACTGTGTGAAAAATAAATAAATAAAAAGTGTTTCTGTAGAAATATAATTTCATAACAAACAAAACTTCTCTACATTCTGCTTGTCTTACCTTAACAGTACCAATCTACTCTCCTACCATTAAATATTGAGCTTACAGAATTTTTACAAACATTTATTGTAAATTATCAGATAAATGATCCTACCACCATTACTTAATCTAAAATCAAAAGGAAAACATCACAATAGGAAAAATGACAAGTACTTACATCTTGGTCACTAGTAAGGGGTGTGTAACCAGTCATAAGAAAATGTAAGCGAGGAGTTGGAATTAAAGGAGCAATAAGCCCAATTAAGTCATTATTCATATACGACGGATACCTAAAAAGATTTTGCAGTCAGTAACAAATGAAGATTTTTGAAATTGTGAAGAAATTTAGAAATAGATTTACATACCTTAATGTGGTTGTAGACACAGACATTATAGTGGACACAAGAGTATTTATTTGTGTAAAACTGGGATTTTGTATGTGCAGTCTATCAGTAGCAATTCGATTTAAAGCAGTATTATCTAACACAACAACACAATCTGCACTCAGAGTAAGACGCTTCAAAGTTAACAATGAGTTGTATGGTTGCACAACTACATCACTGAAATTCAAAAAATAAGCTTCTTTTTAATAATGTTTTGAACCACTTTTACATTTAATATGGTTTCTGTTTGACTAAGTTCACTTCTGCCAAAATAAGAGAAGAGAAAAGGGATTAAGGAAAAAATTATCATAAGAGCATCCTACCTTATTTCATCCTGATTAGGGAACACACTATAGGTTTCAATCAGTTTTTTAGGATATCTGTCAGTCAGCCTCTCTAAAATATATGAGCCCATGCCTGACCCAGTGCCTCCAGCAATAGAATGACACAGAACAAATCCCTTAAAAAACGTATATTATAGTTCACATATATTAAAACAACAATCACACAAATCCAGGGAATATTACTTACTTCTAAACTGTCACTTCCATCTGCTTCACGGTCAATAATATCAAATATTTCTTCTTGGAGTCTATCCCCCTGGCTATAACCAGATGCCCAATTATTACCTGCACCACCACCATGTTTTGACAGATAAATATTCTCTGGATTGTAAAGCTATAAAAAATAAGATGACATCATGGAGGGCTCAAATCTTTATTATCACTTCTAGCGCAAATAAAAATTCACACACCTTAGCATATGGTGATGTCATTATAGTGTGAATAACTCGAGGTTCCAAATCAAGCAGAACAGCTCGAGGAATGTAATGTTCATCATCAGCCTATTAAAACACAATAAAAACATTAAAACAAATAATTTGACAACTGAAATAAACCACAGTTCAAATTATATTATACAAGAAAAATGATTCCAGAACCTGATAAAAGAAGACATCTTTCCTGTCCAACCCCTCTGTAGCAAAGGGCTCCAAAATTCCTTCAGGACTAATTCCATGTTCAGCACACAGTCTTTTCCAAAACTCAAAGCCAACTATAAACAACATTTCAAGTAATGTATAAGTATAATGTTTAAATATATTAAGGAAGAAATTCAAATAGTCTCCTATATTTTAATAAAATTCACGATAATGAATACAGAATTTTAACTTACTTTGATTACCGCATTGGCCGAGTTGCAATGTTATCATCTCACACGGCATTTTCGTGCCTAAATTATTTTACACTCACAATATCATATATTTTAATCTGAATAAATTATTACCGCACTTACAGAAACGTCAAAACACAACGTTCTTTCCCTCCTTTTTACACCAACTACATGGGGGAAAGAACGAACTGGTCCTTCCCGGGACCCATACACATACCACTATGCATTCTCTTTGTACTCACAGGCGTGGATGCAAACTGTGAAGGAAGAAATGACGCACGTCTTTTGATTTACAGGCCTGGCTAATGCCGTTCTCTCTCTTAGTAACCCTGACATAGAGAACCAACGCCGCTGTAGATAGATAATCTAAAATGAAAAAAATATACTGAAAATTTAATACGCTTATACGTACGTATATACAGAGTAATATAATAGAAAGTAATGTAATGCTGCGGAAAAACGATTTCGACGGGAATACGTCTGAACGCTGTCTGTCCGTTTGACTTTCTGTACGTCTGACTGAGCATCTGACAGACTATGCGTCCGTCTATCCGTATTTTTGCTTCTGTGAACAATACTACCTAAACTAGGAGTGGGACATTTTCCAAATTGAAGAAAACCTTGTCCATCTGACTGGAGTCGAAACTCAGATTTTGAAAAACATTCTTCAAACTTTGGGGGTACTTTACATGAAGCTCTCCGGACATATTCGAAATTTTCTCAAAATCGGCTCCAAATTTTTTCTTTGAATTTCTTGTAAGAATAGAGTAATATACACTTATAAAAGTGTTATAGATCTGAGTTCACGATTCACTCTGAACTTTCGAAAGTTTCAAAACTATGAAATCAGTTGATGCCCTGCCCCGGTCAAATTTTCGCAAAATTGAACTTTACCTTATTTAAAAATCTATCTTTAAGGAACAGATTTCTTTCAGGGAAAATATTTACCTTTAATATTTTTGAATTTATTGAATGTTACACTATATAATATTATTGAAATTTTGCTTCTTTCGAAAAATTAGAGTTTACAACGCAAATGCTCTATTCTCTTAAACGTCCTGCACACTAACAACAAAATTGAATAAAAAAACCTTTTTTTTTAAATTTCCCGATTCATGTAAAGTACCATCCAAAATTAACTTATAGGTTTCAAATTTATGGGGCAGCGATATCAGCCTTATCGATTGGGAATACTAATTTTGCAGAAAATCGGTTCAACGGTTTACCCGCTAGCGTTGTCCACAGACTTTTTGCCGCCATTTGCATTTTCGGTATAAAGAAACCACAAACTACGGATTCTGACTACACCACGTATAAGAGGATTTTGCTTATCAATTTGATCCCTAAATTTCGCAACTGGATTTATCCACTTTTTCTTTACTAGGGCCCTGTAATAAGAGTTTTTTTCTGCCGGAAATTCGCCATTTTTTCGTGCAACATAACATAAATTTCTTTCCACTGAGTAAGCGGTAGCGAGAAAGTAAAATTAAAAGATTTAAATCATAACTACACAAATCTACAAATATTGTGAAATAACTAAAATGTTTGAAAGATGTAATTGTAAGGAATATATGGGATTAAGGAAGAAATATCTTTATTAAAAGTGAATAATGTTTTTAAAGTTTGTCATCGTAATACTAAAAAATATGCAAAAAATACACTTCTGGAAAAGTGTACATTAAATTATTTAAATCTCTAACATTGACAAATATATTGCATTAAGAAAGAAATGAGTAACTTCATAATTGAAGGTGTGGAAATGTTTGAGAAAAAATTGAACTGTTACAATTATCAAACTTTTAGAGATTTTAATGGAAATCAGGCTTATTACATAGTATTTACTTAATACTTTTAAAAAAGTACTAAGGTATACCTTAGTACTGCTGATGAAGCCATTCTTAAAATCAGACGCGTGATTTCAGATCTTGTATTGTAGGGGCAAAGTGTCCCCCCACATAAGATTTTAAAGTTCCCTTAAACCAAATGGCATATGAGTAGATACATTATACTTCTAACATAGACATTATATTTTTGAAATATTTCGTAGACCTCAATCAAACCACGCACATCTCTCTACAGTCAGAAACGGGTTTTTTATTGTACTTTTTTCGTCAACTTAGTGCTGTTTAATCTGAATGAAAAAAATGTTCAAAATAACAAAATAATTTATTCTACCAGAAAAGTATTTGTTGATTTTTGTCAGCGCCAAATTCAAATGCAAAGTTTTTTTGAAAAAAATATTGTCTTAGAACCCTGGAACAGGCTTCAAAAAAAAATAAATATGAAAAGTCCTTCTTTAAACATAAAACGTGAATTTTTCAGTTGTTTTTTTCATTGCTGAACTGTAGTTAAAAAAGAAAAAAAAACGGTTTTATTATTTGAAATCACGCACACTGAAAATGGATGTAATCATTCTGTACTTTTATTTGAATATTTCTTATACATTTTAATGAAAATTGTTCTGTTATCCAAAAAATGAAAGTGAATGAATAATGATTATGGTACCGACATTATGATTAAAACAACAGATTCCGTTTATAATAACAGAAACGCGAAATTACTCTAATAACATTTAATATAACAGAAAATATTCAGTGGAGGAAATAGGTTCGCTTGGTACATTTGGTATGGAGCCAATACCATGCGTTAGTTACAATGTATCTTCCGTTATAATGTAAAAACAAACTTACAAAATATAGTATATAGTGCGATTTTTTTAACTTTGCACCTGAGCTCCATCTTCACATTGGCATTTTCGCATTGCATTTCACGTCTTTCTTGGTCGTGACGCAAGATGTTAAAAAAAATTACAAAATGTGTCCTGAATCCCGCCTCTGCTTCAAATCATTGGGAATTTGAAAGCAAATAGCAATGCAGCAGATACGTATTATTTGACCTTCCAAATGCATTTGATCATATAACCTGGAAATTGCTACATTAAAATCTATTTAAGCCGGAATTGACAGAGGCACAAAAAAATTCCCGTTTTGAGAGGTTTCCGTTTTACGCATGTTTGTCCATTTTACTACACTTGTTATATTGACTTGCTGCCCTGAAAGAAGTAAATTATATGATTTTATTGTAATTATCAAAATACATTAACATATAACGTATTTATGGAACGATTCACAAATAAATGAATATTAAACACTCTTTATTGACAGCGTCTGAGTTGAAAAATATACACCTTTCTGGCTGTATTCGGACCGCTTGCTGACTCTTTCATTGGACAAAGCGTCACAACCCAGAACTATGATTTTCTGATACCGTCGCATGGCCATGAGCATTGCGTATCTGGTCGAAGGGTTATGATTTTCAACGTGGGGCAGGGAGACGCGTTAATAGAAACCATGCTCGTATACCTTCCCATGATCATGAAGACGGGAGAGGGGGAATTCCTTTATGGCCTTCTAAATGAGAGTCAAGCGATCCCAAGGTCGAATTCTACCGAAAGCTGAGCTGAAGTCCCCCTCCTCCAATGTCCGGTTGCCACGACTAAATAGCTTGTCACAGGGACAGAGCACTTAAAATAAAGCTTGCATATGCATTCATTTCATTAAGAACATTCCGCGTCTCTCTGCCAATTGCATTAAATGCACAGAAATTCTGTTCTCCCCTGCAGAACATGAAAAACGTTCCGTTTCCGCGTTAGAGAGATTCCGTTTTATGCTGGTAAGAAGCCATTTAAAGTCACGGGTCAGAGAAAATTTTCGGTTAAGACAGGTTTCCGGCTTGTACAGGTTCTGGTTACACAGATTTTACCGTATTAACAAAAGTATATTGTAAGAATAAAGTTTCCAGTTAAAATCCTCATATGACCATACCTCACTAGAGTTTAAAAAATGTCCTGAGAGATATCTTATATACGTGGATATTCTCCGATGTTCTGAAAATTCAATATTTGAAATTGTCGAGTGCAATTTTCAAAGGCGTTAAGTGCCAATGTACAAATATTGAGATTTTTCTTAAGAGAAGTACATCAAGACAACACCAATTCCTCTCTAAAGCACTATTATCCTGTTCATCATCTTCAAGTCCAAACATACATCAATAGATGATACAGACGTTATCTCTAGCTCCCGTTGTCATCTGAAAAATATTAATGTCATATTTATTAGTGTTAGCTGTTCTCATTTCAATGTGGTCAGAGTGTAGTGCAGATTACATTAGAGTAAATGAAAGAAGTTTGTTCTAGGTGAAAATATATTTTCTCATTCTGAGAAGTAAGATTCAATAATCATACTCATTCTGAGATGTTTTATCATCAATTGAGTTGCTTTAACATTTGTGTCAGCCTAGGTGATACTCATACTTGGTACATGTGTTTATGGTGTAAAGGCATTGCCAGCAGAGGAGATAACAAAATAGCCTCATCATTCAGCACAATTTTCTCAATAGCGGTCACAGCTATTTACAAAGATACAGATTTTGCCCTAATTGGGAAATGTAAATGAGTAATAGAGTGACACTTACAAAGATGTGACACAAAGTAAATGAGTAATAGAGTAACTTACAAAGATATGGAAAATTGTAAAAAATTTCATCTTTTCGAGGAAAGATGATGAGGGTTGTACAGAAAGGTGAAATACATATCGTGAAATTCCAGACCAGTATCATTGCTGAAAAGAAGAAAGATCTGTTGTCAATGTTGGACTATCTTCCTGAAGAACCAAAGTAGTTCTACAATGAAGTCTTCAGGGCACAACAGTTCATTAGGATCATGTTTTTCTCCATTAGGATCTATTTAAGTTTACTGCCAGTTTTGGTGTGGTAAAGTATACTAGTTTTGTTTTTTTAAAGTTTGGGACATATCACCTTTTAGAGAAAATCCATACACAACTTTATCAGCTTTTCCAATTTCAGATTTAAATATTGATTTATCAGCTTTTCAACCCAATGATATCTGCATATGATTAATGTGGTAAATAGCCTGGTAAAAATACTTGTTATAGCTTTTTGCATAAGAATCAAAGAAAGTACTTAATAAATAAAAAAAAAAATGCTTACAACAATGTTTTGTCACTTAACGCCTTTAAGAATTCCATTCTAATTTTGTCATAATAAAGGGCAGGTTTATGGGGCTTGCTGTGTGGAGAATAAAATTTCCACTACATAGTTGTTTGCCAATGTTTCAGAAAATATAATTCCATCATCATGGCCACACAAGATCAGAAAACAATAATTTTTTTAAAAAAATTCTCCACTTAAGATGTCTCATAAATTTGACGTCATTAAAATAACTTAGGGTCTTTTAAGGATTCTCCAAATTTTGACATAGTTACCACACGAGTGCCAAAGTGGATCAGTGTCATATCCATTGTTATTTCTGATGTTTCAAGCTCCACTGATTTCTTTGTTAAACAATTTTAAACTTCATCATAATTACCTTCTCAAAACCTTAAGTTGGAACTTGATATTAAAATTGTGAATCAGAATCACAGAAGTTTTAATGAATATTCAAGTATTAAAATGTAGCATTTAATAAACATATGGATACAGTCTTTAGTAAAATAATCTTCAATTTATTCTTCTTACGATACAATACCTGTGCATCTGCAACAAACTGCTGAAAATATCAAACTACACTGAAAATATACATGTTCTTTTACTTTACATTCTTATTATACTGTGACTCTCTCATTGTAGGATGTAATTTCTCACTGAATTTCATTTTGTAAGGAATCTTGATGTCAACTTCTCTTTCCTAAACGAAATAATGTACTTTCACGCCTAAAATTACACAATTTATTGAACATTTTTCTCCAATAATTGGGTATTATTTTTCTGATTTTGTAAGATTTTTGGATTAGGAGACTCGGAAACAATTTTCTGAAAAGCCACAACTGACAGTACATTCTTGTGCATGATACACAATATTCCACAAGGGCACACAAATTTTTGTGCTCCTTCGGCATAGTAGTCTAATAATCTCGCTATACACTCACATGCTCCCTAAGGCCTGAGTCATATGAGCTTTGTGTTGTCACAGGATAAGTAATGCACATCATAGATTAACACAGTATCTTATGGAGAACAGATAAAGTGCTTGGGTGCCGTTTTTGTAAGATACAGCTACTTAACACGTGTCAACACAATGCTCGTGCATAGGGCCTTAAGTAAATCTGGTTTGTAAGACAAAGCCTGACAATTATTAGAGGTCAAGGTTATCAAACTTTTTCTGTGAGCCATTTTTATGATATAAAATTCTAGAAACCTCCAAACGATTTTCAAAGGTCATCTGTTTTCAACATTTGAAAAAGTGTAAATACACAATATATTATGAGCCACAAGAATATGGTACACTGAGATGATTATGTCCCACAGGCTAACAATTTGATATCCTCTCTAAATTAACAGGATTTATTCATGCTACACTCAAAAAGCCAATATACACAATTTAAATTATCAACTTTATCAAATTCTCAAATACAAAAGTAGTAATAGACAATGCAGTATAACACATTACACTGTATTTACATTATGCCAGTCTCAATCCTGACTACCAGTCAGAAAGTAAGTCTTTATTTCACAAATCTAGGCTCACAGAGATTTAATAGAAGGTACAGAAAAACATTAATTTTCTTGATTGAGTAAAATAGAGTTCTTAAATGCAAAACAAATAGTACAATGATTACTTAACTATCAGAATGGAAAATCTCAAATAATTTATTTTGATCCCCATTCTGTTTATAAATAATTCTGTATCCTTCATATTTTCTCTACATCAATTTCCATTTCTTACAATCTGTGTTGCCACAGATACCTCCATAAATTTTATGTCTTTAGTAATATTTAACATTGGACCATATCTTCAGACTCATACAGGAGTTACAACATTGAACAATAAAAATATTTAATGTCAATATCTATTTTTTGTTGTATTTATGTCTTAGGTTCCTATTGGGAAGATTTTTAACATTTAAATGCTGTGAAAGTTGATGTAAATGAGTGAATGCCAATTTATTACTAGTACACACACAAACAAAAAAGAAATCTGAAAACTTAGTCCACAGAATAAATTCATGATCAATTAAGTAGTGCATCTAGTAACACAAAAATAGTAATATCATTAAATGGAACATTTGTTTATGATAGAAAAGTACAAAACACTACTTCACCATTTACATAAAAAAAATGTGTTGTATAAATTTGGAATGATAAGTAGAAGGTGACAGATATTTAGTGTAAACACTATGATTGGGATGACAAGTAAGCGATAATGATTTCTTTTTATGTATTTTGCATGGATTCTCTCGTTTACAGCAATTAAAACCACACCTAACATTAATTGTTCACTTTACATTTTTTACTTTTAAAAATTTTACCAATAAAATTTTAATTAAATCTAACATCTTTATTTATGTTTATAAAGTGTTTAAGTCAATGAATATCTTACAAATCAATAGAAGTACTTCAAACATCAAAGGCTATGCCTTATACTATCAAGAAGTTAACTGTCTTGAACTGAAGTCAATTACATTGTATTATTTGTCAAACCCATGAAAACCAAACAATACTAAAAATACTGAAAACTCGTTGCATACTGAAATAATACTTCCAAAATTTTATAGAAAACAAGAACAAATTCTCTGGAAACAATACTTCTATATTCTTCCTCGCCTTCCATCTTTAATATCAAACAGTTTTCTAACAAAATACACCTGCAGAACTGTAGTTGCAGCAATAACAATGATTTGAGCCAAAGACCAATTCTGCACATATTTATTATTATCAATTAACAGATTATAATCACGAGCTTCTCTTCCTCTGGAATGATGTTGATATTGCAGCATCTCGTTTATGTTCCGCTCTACATTTTTGATTGATGACTGGAAATTAAATATTCACAATTTAGTTGCAAAGTAGTCATTAAATAAAATTAGCTTGCACAGCACTAATACCTACATATTATAAGTTTCACAAAACAAAGAAGAAATTATTAAATATTCCAATTTTTTAATATTATCAGTATGGCATCACAAGAATATGTTTCAAAAGAAAGATAATATAAATGAATAAAAAGACAAAGGCATTATTGTCCATGCATTTCACAGCAAAAACTGTTGACAATAACATCCATTTTACTAATCATGAAAAAGCAGTAGAAAGTAAACAAATATTTTTGTTTTAGAACACAACAAATATATTATTGCATTTAATAATAGTTATTTTTTTCAAAAATCTTTTTGAAGGTGTTTATTTCTCATTTGACCTCCCAATGGTTTGCTTTTCAATTTATGCATTTGTTATACCAAAGAGATGACTACACAAAGTAAAATATCTTGAAAATAATTTAGTATTAATTATTCCTCAAGTGAAAAATAAAAATTGAGAAGAGGTGATAAGACAGTAGCAATAGAGAAAACACCAAATCAGCACAAATATTTTTCTTTCTCCTACTTTCCTTGACTGTTAAAATTAAAAGAGTTTGGGACAGTTAAAACCAGAAAGTAATATTCCAATTTAAATTTCCTCGCCATTTGCAATCATTAGAAAGTATAGAAATTGAAGGTCCACCTTCAATTTACATTATTACCCCCTTACACACTTATTATAAAACATCAAAGAGCAAACTTACTGTGAAGTTTTCAACGCTAAGGTTCAAGTCCTCAACTTCTTTGGTGAATTTATCCCACTGGTCATACCTGCCACAATAGAATTACAGGTAAATCTCATAGCATCAGGTATCAATCAGGAACTTAGTTACTAGCAAGTCAAGATCATGTACTAACCTTATGACTGTAAGATAGAGGTTCACCAACTTTGCAGCAAACCTTGAAAACTGATTATCTATGCATACACTGTAATACCCTCCAGCAGACCCCACATCTTGATAATCCGAATTTGGTCTCCACTGATATGGATGAACAATTTGCCCATTCGGATGGCGTACTGCAAAGCCAGCCATGCCGTCTCCTCCACGTAGAACCTTGACAACGATGAAAAATGCATAATAATGACATATTGTTGCTAACATATGTTCAAATTATAATTAACAAGAAACATTTCCTGATAGCAAATAAACTAATAGTTAAAGTATTATTCATCTTTGAACTTATTTCTCAAATATTTTCAGCATTAATTAATTCAGTCTTATTACCTGGAAACTCACGTAGAAAGTTGCACCCGGGTTAACATACTGAAAGTAGCAATCTTCCTTTCCAGGATCAATGTGAACTTTATAATCCATTGCTACCGCCGGTAAAGACTCATACCAAGGAACAGTTGTTTTTTCTGGCTCGTTTGAATGGGTGATTTGGAACATAAACAACACCGCAATCAACGTGGCAAAGTATAATCCCATGTTTGATACCTGTTACCACTTCAGCTGGCGCTCATTACGAACCCACCACAACCGCATTACACACTGACAGCGTGGGCCAATAGCAAAACATAAGCAAACTCGAAAGTATGACACCGAACACTCACGAACAATTCCGAATATAAACGAATGTTTCCACAGTTTCTCTATCACCAGGCCCGCTAAATTTGTGTTGTCAAAGGAAACTGCAAATTCCCTTTCAGCGTGAGCATACTGTGCGTAGTGGTAATAAACGTTTTTTTCTGCTTCTTTTTTGTAAGGATTTGTTCCAAAACCGAAGATATAATATGTTAATGCTTTTGTTGTGAGAGATGGCAGAGCTAGACAAAATAACACATAATATTACACAAACGTACTACCACATTATTGTAACAAATTGAAAGTGAATTATGATGAAATTAGAAACAACTAAGCAAAAACAAGGGAAACCTACATGATATACTACTCGACGCGTTTAATTCTGCTTACCACGAGAATACCTCGTAATATAAGTGAGCAACATTTCATAATGTACTATTATGTTTCCTACTCAAGGAGCAATGAGGAGACGTAAAAAATATCCTTACACTCTTTATCTTCATACTCTTTAGAAGATCTTATAAACCTTATATTTTGATTTATTTAACATGGCGCCTCAAGGTCACAAGTTGGAAGAAGAGGAGGATATTGTCATTCAATCGGTAGCACCAAATATCACATTAATATTATTTCGCAATTAAAAGTTTAAGCTTTTATTTTAATTCGATTGCAGATACAGTGCTTGCTTTTCTCTGATTGTGAATAAAAATAAAAATTTCCCGCTGAACCTACAAGACTAGAACTAGATCACCCGTTCAGGGAGCGTTATGCGCTTCCAGCGAGACCAAGAGTTATAAATGTTGAGATCAGTGTTCTCTTCAGATCAATACGCAATATTTCTTTAGGAAACCAAGGGCTCGCTAAAAGAACTATTGAAACCGTCCCGTATCAAAGCATTCTTTTTAGTTCGTTAATCCAGTGAAGCGACATTAACACATACTTTCTTACATTATTTGTAACTTTTGCAATTTTCAAACATTCAAATCGTTAAATGAAAATAAACCTTCATTATTTCTTTAGGAGTCCTTTTCTCTACCGAAAGAAATTAATTAGAGATGTTTTGTGACGTTCTGAGCGTCCCTGTTTCTGTCTGTCTGCCCGTCCGTCCTTCTCTCCGTCCGACTTCCCGTCTGTCTGCCCGCCCACCTGTCCGACTAACTAAACTTTGTTCTCGAAATTAGACCTTTAAATATGGTTAAATACTATTTTTAAGAGTAGTTTTCGCGATAAATTTCATCCATATGAATAGTCATTTAGGTAATTTTTCTAACACGTTGTGTAGTCAGAATCCATGTTTTGTGGGTCCTTGATACCGAAAAACCGTTTGTGGTCAACGCTAGCGCCTTCAACTGCCAATCCAGTCCCCCAATTGATGTTCAGGTTACTGATCTTACCGAACTGGTTTCAATCGAAACAAAATTGAAATCAAGTGAATATAAGAAAATATGTAAAACATACAACGAAATCGTGTAGTCGCAGACATTCATGAAGACAGAACACATGACAATTCTCACAATAATGTTCAGCTGAACCCAGGGGTGGATCTAGGGGGGGTGAGCCCCTCCCCCCCCCAAACCTACAGATATTGTAGTATACAATATATTAACAAATATGTTTATTATTTAACAAGAATCTATGATCCCACCCCCAAGTGATCGGCTGGATCCTCCCGACTGTACCAGATTTTTTTATTCATTCATCTGCGTCAACTTAGACGCAACGCGTCCCTAAACCCCTTGGGGCGTTGAGTGCTTAATGTTTTTTAGAGTTATCCTCCATTAATTGTTGCGCAGGAGTAATCCTCCATTAATTACATTATCCACCACGTCTCGGTCAGTTGTCAAGAGGACCGCCAGATAGCAACTTTACGTTTTACGCGCCTCTCTTTTACGTGCTCCTGCGTCACTACCAGCGGCCAGATTGGGAAGGAGGAGGTGTTGGACTAGCCCCTGTGAAGCATGCAAACTCCTTCTGTTGTAACAATTTCACATGAGGTTCTATGGGAATTGAACCCAGAACCTCAGTGGTGAAAGGCAACAAACTTCGCCATTTCAAAATAGCGCCTAAAGAAAATCTCGTACGGGACACGCATGCACGCAGTAACGTCATCTATTGGCAATAGGAGCAGATGTATAATAATCATAATCAATTTGTATGTAAATCTTCTATGGAAAGCGCGTCAATTTTGAAATAGAAATAGTGTGGAATAATCCTATAAAGCTATATTAAAATAGTAGTTTGATATTTAACGTTGAAATTTTCAAATATATTTCCTAAACCTCAATTGTTTTAAAAATAAATGAGAATGTAGTTTTGAGAAAGACAAATTTCAGATGATTACAAGTTGATTAGTGTTGATTAGAAATTGAAATTTCACATCAAGGACTGCATTTTTATGAGAAAGTCGATCAACTATAAGGAGCACAGTCTATTTAATTTAAGAGACATTGATTCAATTTCAAAGTTGTTAAAATAAATTAAAGCTTATAATTACTAAAGACGTGTGTCTCGTTCGCTGCTCGCCTTTCAATTGGAAAGGAGGAATTGACACAACATTTAAACTGCGTTCTGAATGGAATGAAACTATTTTTTCATATGTCTTATCGTGTTTAATGAAGTTACTTCACTTTCTGGAATAAGAACAGTAGCATTTCTTTTGTGACTTCGTTTTCTCGTAATCAGATAATGACTGGATGAGCTTATTTATCACGTGGTGCGCTGAATCAGAGGCAACCACAACGTGACACACAGAAAGCCAAGCCAGTAGCAGCGCGTTGACCGGGTGGCGGAAGAGGACGGCGTTTCCCGCCGTGCGAGAGCTGCTTTGGGAGTACCGTGTTTTCCCGTAAATCACACTAAAACGTGGGTGTTAAATGTCAGAGACATTTTAAATATCGAAACAAAAACAATTTTTTGTTGTGTGAACCGTTAAGCAGTCATGTTTATCCATTATATTTATAGCCTTTAAGCTTCATGAAATATTCGAATGTTTCGTGATAAAATTTGCTTTTGCTAACCTATGTGCAAACAATTCGAGTGTCACCGAAAGTAAATAGTTTCATAGTTTCGTAAAGTGGAAAAAAATGGAGAATATGAATGGTGAATCAAGAACTTCCCGTCACGACAACGGAGGTAAGAGTGTGCACCCCTTTGATTCTTATGTTACTTAATTTCATTAACTATACCTATTTTATATGATTGAGAAAAACAGAGTTTGAAGTACTGCAGGTAGTAAGTAGTGCGAACCAAGATAACATCGTTAATAGGTTGTAAAATAAGTAGAAACAAAAAGAAATAATGGACCCCCAAAGACAAAAGATTTTTCTATTAACACTATTACTATTAATATCGTTTATTTCTATTACTATTAATTTCGTTTTCTTTTTTAAATACTATACTTTGTTTAAACATCTTGTGGAAACTGCTTCTATATTCATTTTGTTGGTTTGTTTAGATATTATTAAATTTTTCACAGCTTTGCCTTCTAAGCATGGCAGATTGGAAGGAAATGGTTCATCTGATGTAACAATGAAGAAAATAGCAAAACTTCAGGTAATTTAAATATTTCAATAATTTTCTTTAAACTATGCATTAGATATGATGTGCTGCAATAATAATTTAATTTGTGGTGGATGTGTTTAAAAATATTCTGTCATAACTTGCCAGTTTTCCACAATTATCCTTTTTTTTATTATTGTGGTCAAATCTCTTGACAATCTCAGAGGGCAAAATTGCATAACTTAACTAGAATTTTCAACTGGTATTCACAATATTTGTAGAACATGAATCAAATTTTATGTCTGTAATTTATGTCAGCATAAAATGGAAAATATCTTAACTTTCTTTGCTTTAATATTTTCGAAAGCAGCATTTTACTTGTGATTGTATGATATTTCATAGTATTGTATTATATTGATGCAAGCTTCTATTATGATTATTAGTCTATTCATTTCAGTTGCAAACTTCGTTCTACAAATGCTAATTATTACAACCTTACAAACTGTCATTTCCTTATTTTGTGGTGCTACAATTACTTTATATTTAACTCTTTTTACATATTGAAGTTAATGTTGTTGACAAGTACTATGACATTTGCTGTATGTTAGAAGACCTTGCCTTTCTATTATTCCTTCATGGTTTCTTAGAAATAGTTTTGAAAGTTGAACTAAGTTAGGCATAGTGTTTTTTTTTTTCTCACATTTTATTTATTTATCTATTTAGTTTTGTTTAGGAAAAGACAATTATTTGAGGAAAGTATGAAAAACTTCAAGAGAAAACCGTGTTTATGTGCATGTATTGCAGGAAGGAGGTACCTTTTGATTTATTTTCATCTAAGATCAGTAAAAATTATATGTGACATAGGGAGAGAAGTATAATCTGTGCAGGTTTTGTTGAACACCAGGGTCCACTCCTTTACTGTACATAATTGAATGGTGAATAAAAGTGCCAAGAAAGTGAGCTTTGCAACATTTGAAAACTGAAAATTTTCATTCCTGAGTAACATAATATTTTTTTGGCTTCAATAAACAAACTACAGATTTGATTTAATTGTATTGCTAATGAAATAGCCACTCACACCCTCGGCCCTACTCTCAACTTTAACGGGCTGTCTTCTGTGAATAATGTTACAAAGGATTTAGACATGGGAATGAATAATTTAAATTAATTAAATTAATTTATATTATTTGAATAAAATTGTTCGATAATTTCAATATAAATAAATTTTAATTAACAACAAACAACTATAAAACCAGTCACGACTCACCGTTATTTATATTTTAAAAAATGCATTTATTCTGTGGTCAAGTGTATTCTGTCATACAGCTCTTCAGCTTTCAATAATATAACTATTCTTGTGTTTTGTAAAAAATCACTCTCTGTAAATCAGATCTGACTTTGGGTATTGAGTGAACAAAGTTTCTGAGGTTTTCAAAATCTATATTCCCCTATTTTTTAAGTATTTTTCTCTCTTATGTATTAAATTTCTTTCAAGTCTCTTCTGAATTCTTTGTTTGTGCTGAATTCAGTTTTAAGAATAGTGTGCAGAAAAGTATCGAGCATAGCAAGTAGTCGAGTTTCCAAAGATAGACACTTTCCGCTATTTATTTTGGTTTATTATTGTGTTGGAAATAGAAATCACTTTAAAGATCATTTCTAAGTCTTTCTTTTCACATTATATATGAAAATATTCATGTAAAAAATCTATTCATTGAGCACAAAATGAAAATTAGATCCCTGTCATTGATACATTCCCTATTCTATCACATTTATGGAATACAATTTTTTGTCGTGCATTATGCCAATGTACACTGAAATAAAAATGAAAATATTTAAGAAGAGATCAAGTAATGTAAAATAACAAAGGATAATTTCTTTGAAAATGATTTACAAATTATAACTAAAATGGAGAGATGTTTTATTTAAAGAATTAGTATTTCTGAAGTTCTTGTAAAATAACTAGTTGAGATGACTGAATATGGTTTTTGCCAAATTTAATTAGTATTATTTAATTTTAATGCTCGTGAATTCTTGGTGTTCCTTTCCATAAGACTGCTATCTTTTATTGATTAAAACATTGATACTTGGTGTTTGGGATTTTTATGTGATTAATTTTTATTGTGAATATTTAATGACATTACTATTCAGTTCCAAGTAAGAAAGTAACAAAAGTAATTGTTTATAAAGTTTACAGCAAATTTGGTACTGAAATGATTTTGCGTGTCCTTTCAATACGTAGAGAACGTCCGTATGCAAGTAGCCGGATGATAGTGCAATAGTTGCGCCCATGATAGGCGAATCTGAGCCCGAGAAAATGCTGCTGCAGGGTGGAAAGACATACGCTGGTTCAAATTTAGAATATAAACAGGTTAATCAACCGTTGAATAAGCTGTTGTTACTACAACAGCTTATACGTTACACATTCTTTCTCATTATTCATAACTTTTGCAATTTTCGAAAATTCAGGGAGCTCGACGAACACATACCTGCATCATTTGCTTTGATACATACGATGAGAAAATTTAAAGAAAAATATTGTTGTGTTTGAGAAAAAAGTTTCAAAACATTAAAGCTCCATTCTCGTAAGTGACCTTTACGCTATCCGAGGACAAAGTTTAATAAAATTATTTGGAGCCATTTTTGAGACAATTTTGGTAATGAGTCGTCATATAAAGTAAAACCAAAATTTCCGTTTCGAACTCAGGGAGCCTCAAGTTCATTTTAATCGATCGGGTAATATCAATTTTGAAAAGAAAGAAAGAAAGAAAGAAAAAAAATGGCTAAACCATTTAGGCGCTAAGTTTTACCACAGACAGAGGGATGGCAGACATACAGACGTTTTGCCGTCAAGCAATTTTTCGGTATGAAGGACCCACAGGAGGCTAGTATTACAATATGGCAAAGTCTTTCTGGTATTCCTGAAGATGACGTAAAATTCTAATAATTATTTTGCAACTTATATACCACTATTATTTCAAATCTGCAATCTCTTGCAAAACTTATTTCACCGTTTCACGACAGTAAGAGGACAATTTGCCTGTTTCCTAACACCTAAGACCTATATGAAAGAGAAAACTGGCCTAATTGCTTCTGTGAACTGAACGCGGTTTATCAAGGTTTATCTAGGGCACCTGCAAGGGGGCTGGAGCAACTTGTCCCAGACCCCCTTCTTAATTGGGGCCCCAAATTGTTTTTAATTCAAAACCAAAAATGTATTTACTTGTAACTCAAATTAACCGTTATACGCTATTTCTGTTGTAGAGAGAAATTAATTTCTACGAAGGAAGCGAGAATTTTTGGTTGAAAATTGAGGCCGCCTTGAATCTACTGCTCCAGCACTCGTGTCTTCTATGGGCACTCCTTATCAAAGCTTCTCGTACATTGTAGCACTGCAATTGTAGTAATACAATTTTTAAATGGTCGCAGTAATCCATAAACTTCACTTCATTTGAGTCACCAACTAGCATACTAAATATTAATCTCCAAACTACAGTAGCGGTCAATAAAATATAGCCACCATGCCATGATAAAGAAATAAAGAGATTTGTTTTGCAAATAACCTTGATTTATAATGATCATTTCTTTCATTTTGCACTCAATGTGGAAACAGATTAATAAACCTTTACATGGCTTTCAGACCCAAATTATTTTACAAATAACAAAAACTTCACAAAAAAGTATCTCTAAGAAGTCAAACAAATAAGTCATTTTGATATAACGCCTTGGGAAAATAGAAAAAAAGAAAAACAAAATTTCCCTTTCTTGAATGAGTTGGTACTTGGTAGGATATCCCTTTTTTTAGTGCAGCCCGGCATCTTCTTCCCAATGACCTCACATAATGTTTGTATTCCTCTATTGGAGTGGAATACATGCCTTTCTACAGTTTGTCCAAATTTGTTACTTTGGATCTATCAATACTTCTATCAACACTTTCCCACGATTTTCAATTGGATTTAAATCTGACAACTGTGGTGGCCACTCCAAAACTGTCACTTTTTCCATCTCAAAACAGGACTTCACTAACTTTGCAGTATGTTTTAGGTCGTTATCTTGCATAAACTTCCAGGCGAAAGGAATTTCCTCTCGTGCATAAGGAAACATAGTTGACATTAATATTTCCTTTTATATCTCCGCATTCATAATTTCTTTTATACGAAACAACGGACACATACCATACCTCGAGAAACATCCCCACGCCATTACTCTACCAACTCCGTGTTTCACGGTTTTGAAAATGTACTTGGTTTTACCTGGTTTGGATGGCGTTGCACATACACTTTTCCATCAAAAGGAAACCTATTACATTTTATATCATCCAACCAGAGTCTATTGTACCGCCAATCATCCGACTTATCCTTGGGTCTTTTGGCAAAAGTTAGTGTCGCAATATTTCATTTTGACATGTGGTTTTCTTTTTGCTGTGCGTCTATTGTGTTGTGGAGCTTGTAATCTTCTCTGTACAGTTAAAGTAGATAATTCAATACTATAAACCTGATATTTGTTTTGTTTCAAGCATGTTGCTGACAAGAATTATTGATCCTTCCGAATTTCCTTTCTGATTTGTCGATTGGGGACGTTCTTCGCGGTCTGCATCGATTTTCAGGAATTTACTTCCTCTGTTTAAATTTGTGAATTGAACTTACTGAACTCACTTTAGTAAAACACGCAGTTCTTTTGAAATTTTGTTCATCGCATCAGCTTCTTTTCCACACGATAAAAATCACATGTTATCCAGTTTGTGGTGTATTTTACACGACCCCTCTACAAAGTTCAATAAAAATAACTAATGTAAGAAAACCACGCGTAGTGTATTGGATCATAAACTTGTGATTTAAAAATTCTAATAATTAACCCCTTTCCTGTTTCTCCCCAAAATCGGTTATCTAATAACAATTTATTACGTTGCGCCAAGTTTACACTCCTACAGTACAAATCTATAAATTTTGTGTGAATTCGCGAAGTTGCCCTTTTACAGGAAACCGAAATATCATATTGATTTGGGAACCTGGCTCTCTGTTCTTTCTCCTATCATTGGGTTTATATTACTTGCTAAT